CTTACAACAAAATCAAAGAAGTAATCAAAATTAAAGACTAGAATTTGGAAATTAGAATTTTTACCCAAATTATTTGCTTCAATCCAGTGACTCCAACTCCAAGTCTCCAATTCCAGCCGCGCCCACAGTCGTAACTCGAACTCAATAACAAGATAAAAATCAATGGTTTAGTAACATTTTTATTTGCCTACAAAATTAACCTAAAAATAAATACCTAACCTAAAGCATTTACCAATTACCAATTACCACAAAATTAACCTAAAATACTACTAATTGAAGTTGGAAATTAGAAATTTAGAAATTAGAAATTACCAATTACCCAAGAGGCACAGTCGGTCAGTCCACTCCAGTCGGCTAGGGCCTAGGGTTCCTTTCCTTCGTGGCTTCGTCTTCGTGCCATCGTCGATCCGGGCATCCGTGAGTCGGTCAGTCGGACAGGCGGACAGCAGAGAGCAGACAACACTACAGCAGCACGCCAGCGGCCAGCAGACAGTCCGTGAGTCCGTGACTCTCAGTCTCTGTCGCAACGATGAAGAAGAAGAAGAGAAGAAGTGATGTGATGGTGAGGTCGGTCACAGCCGATGAAGAAGAAGTAAGGTAGACGGTAGTCTGGTTGGTCGCTACGCTACTCGCCTCTCGCCTACTCGTCGCTTGCTTGCAGCGGTGCAGCCTTGCACTAAGACTGAACTGAGGTTAGAGGGGCCTTTTGCATCTTGTTGTTGGGGGCCCAAATTCATTTCATTGAAAAATACAAGTAAACTAATTTTTTTTGGGCCTTCCTGTTAAAAATTTGTTGGGGGCCCAGGACCCCTACCCTCATCACATACATCCGCCCCTGACCACCGTCCATCATTGCCGCCACCCCCACCAGCGGCAATCGACAGCCATTGCCAACCACCATCGACCGCGTCCACTACTACTACCTCATCCACCACATCCACAACCACGGTCCGCCATTGATAACTCTCATTTCGAGCGTTATTTACACATCATTTGTGTGAGTTTTTCTTCCGCTTTAATTGTGTTTTCTTTTTATGTGTTCTTGTTTATTCTTTTTGTTATTTTATTTTCAATTTGAGCTGTTGAGGATGTCTTTATGGATATCTTAGCTGTATTATGACAATACTGAAAAGGCAAACTGTAGAGACCAAAGGAAAATGAAAAGAGGGCAAAAAGCAAAAGCCGAATCTTGCTTCACATATTTTTGTACTCAAAGTGGTCACCTAAAGATCCCCGTAGGTGAAATCGTGAATGTAGAAGATGATCTTTCATGAAAATAATATGGGAGGACGCGTTTGCATTTGTGAGGACGGGTTTGCACTTGTGGGTTTTAAAGGGTTCAAATCCTTCAAAAGTCTTTGGGTTAAAATGGTTTCTTCATATCTCTTCTTTCACCATATAAAGGGACTTAAGATATCATTTTGAAACAGAGCTCTAACAACGTAGAAGTTTCAACCATTTCCTTTTACATTATATAGTTGTAGTTGTAATTTATTTTCAAGTCTTTAACTTTCAACACTGGTGCCCCAGCGTGGAGACACTGTGACACAATTTGTATCTTATTTTCAATTAAAATCAACTTTTAAGTATTTCTCTTCTTCTACTATTTTTTTTACTTTAATTATTAGCTAAGCAGCCCATTGGGTGTGGGTGTAAGTTGATGCTAATATTAGTAGGCAACACTTGAGTGTTGCCATTGTTACTCTTGGGCTTGGTTGCTCAACTTGAAGCTTTAACTCAATGCAGACAAACCGATCACTTGAAAATATAAATATCAGGTCTTAGACTCAGAGATTGGCGGACTTTGAAATACGGGTTGAGTGATGTAAGAATATTTGAGAAAGTCTTTCATAATCACGTAAAGAGACGGTTTTTTGCATGATTTTGTTATTAAGGTTCAAATGTTACCACCACCCACCACGGTCTATACTTTCAACACGTCGGTCACAAACTACTTTCTCCACCATTCCTAGTCACCACCACCATTGCCCACCATTTCACATCCTCTACAAAACTACAATCATCTTCGTACACCAACCACCACCACCTCTACCTGCACCACCATTATCGTTGCAACAACCTCCACTATGGCTCTTTTCCATCATCTTTACATCAACCACAGTCAACGTTGCCAATCACCACCACTATCGACTACCACTACCACCACCCACCACCACTTCTACCTCTACCACATTAGCCATAACTACCTTCTGCAACCATTGTTGATCGCCGCCACCACCACCAGTTCCCACCATCTTCATATCATCCACAATCACTGTCATCTATCAGTCACCACCGCCTCTACCCTCAGCACCATTGTTATTGTAACAACCTCCACTGCAAGTTTGTAAGTATCTTCCAAACAAATTAAAAATAGTTTTTCTTTTATACGAACTAGGTTTTTTTCCGATCTACCATAAAAAAATATCAAGTTATTAATTCAAATTTGGTGCTATAATATATATATATATATATATATATATATATGTGTGTGTGTGTGTGTGTGTGCGCGCATATATATATATATATATATATATATATATATGTGAAAATAGTGTAAAAATGTTTATAAGTTAAATTATTTTAAATATTGACTTGATTTTTGTCATTTATAACTATTTTAGGACAGTCTAGTCATGTCTTATCTACCCCTAGTTGGACCGAACACGAAACATACAACTTGTCTGTCTGGTCTTGCCCTCTTGTTCTATCCAGTTTTGCCTAATTCTGTTTAGTCCGATTATATCTGCATACAAAACGCTACCTAATTGCACTTGATGTTATGAGTTCAATCATTGATATATTTTTACTGTTAATATAAATATTGTTAGGGCCATGGACCTGCCCTGAAAAAAGCAAAAACTTGAAGTTACAATTTAATCTAACTATCTAAACCTAACTTTTTCTTTTCTCTTACAATAAACAAGTGCAGAACTATGCTTGATCCTTAATAGGTTCTCTCCTTATGGTGATCGAAAAATCGAAATTTTAAGGTACAAGTTTGTCAAGAGAAGTAGCAAGTGCATAAAAGAAACAAGTCCGAATTTTAAACTAAATCTCGTAGAGATTCCCAAAGGTAGCTTGAAAGCAAGTTACAAGCCCGGTTAGGAGCAAGTTCATGTTCACGACTGCCATATATGACACCTGCTATGTGATGGAAGAGTTCGCTAACACTCCTCGAGGAATTTGAACATATTGTGCCAATTCTCTATGCGATCCATTAAAAACGAAATGACAAGCGACCAGATTGCATAACATATTCACATAATAAATTAATAAAATCGCATAGTACACTCAAGACATATACCGAAAACTGATGCTAACCAAAACAAACCTTATATAAGGCAAAATGGAGATCACATAGCATTAAGAGGTTGTTTGTTTACCTCTTAATAGTTACATTAAGAGTCAACCTCTGAACCGTTAAGAGGTGAATTTTGTTTCGCAAAAAAAAAAGGCTGACTCTTAATGGTTCTAAAACCATCTGAATGATTTTGTATTATGAATCTCCCTTAACCATTCAGAGCTCTAATTTTGTTGTAAATAATTACTAAACACTTATATTTTATTTTGCACTATACCATGAGCGTCTCTTAATCATTCTGCACCAAAACAATCAACAATTGTCAAACGGCCTTTAAATCTCACACTTTGTTTATAAAAAAATAATCTAGAAAACACCAACTTTGTTTTTAAAAACGAATTCCTAAAATATCAAATAATACAAATTAAAAAAAAACAATTATTAAAAAGAAAGTCTTGAAACGTTGGCTTGATGGTGTTTTCACATTCTTTTATATCTTAAAACATTCCTCCTCCACATGCTTACGATATCAAAATTATTTAATAACCATTTTTATATATACTTTCTATTTTTATTATTTCATCGTATCTTTTCGACAAAAATCGACTACCAAGAAACTTAACATATTTTATATGAAATCCGTCTTCAAAAACACTAATTAATATGAGGAAGCATTTTTCGCTTACTCAACGACTGGAACCAACAAAGGTTCCAAGATCAAACCATGACATTTCTTGTAAAACGCTATCCACTCTATTTAAACCTACATCAACTTTTTATATTTTTAATACGACAAGTGCATAAAAAAATTGTAAATTACAAGACCCATAATTTGTTTTTGAGTAAATTATGTTTTCCGTCCATGTGGTTTCTTAAAAATTGCGGATATTTTTTTATTAACCTGGATATCCAACCCGCTATGCGAGCCGACTAATCCCAGGACGATCACCTGCTTTGCAGATAGCTCGGAGTCACCGTATTTGAACCTCCGTAGCAACAAGGGGATTTTTATTTCTCCTTGGATTTGAACTTGGGACCTCCTGATATTTTTGACCTTTGGAGCCAAGCTCAAACCAATCAGACACCACCCTTGTGGTTAAAAAAATTGCGGATTTCGTCTTTATGGTTTTGAAATTTCAATTTTCATTCATATGGTTTGCAATTCATGTCTATTTTGAGTAAAAACACAACTTTTAAGTATTGAAAACTAAAAAAAAATGAATTGTAAACCATAAGAACGAAAAAAAAATTTAATTATAAAAACGAAAAGGGTAATAAATTATAAAAAATAAGGATAAAAATTATAAAAAAAGAAGAAATTTTCACTAACTAAGGAGACTAAAACCTAATTTACTTTTTGTTTTGGATTAAATCCCTTTTAGATTGCTTTTGGTTATGAAATTTAAATCCAAAAAATTGATAATGCCATAAAAAGATCGAATCTTTCAAGTACTGCGAACCAAATAAAAGAAAAAGGATTAATTAAATAATTTAAATGAAGCACCTTTTTGTGAGGTCGAGTCGAACCCACTCACAAACCATTGGGTTGGGGGGGTTTGCTTTCTTCCTGCTCTGCTACCCAACCTGAAACGCAGGATTCTTGACTTCACCTCACCTCACCTCACCATGGACCTCTTGCAACTTGAATGCCCTTTTCTTTAAATCTTTTAAAGTATCTTTAAAAACAATATCTTGTAGATGCTTACTGCTACGCATGATTGATAGCATTCTCAAGCTTCCGTTTTTCCAGCTAGATGTTGTTTCTTTTTATCAAATCTCGACCCAAATCTTCATCTACTGTTCATCGTTGTTTTTAAGCTCTCTGAGTTATCTACAACCCTAAAGTTGTTTTCCATTGTTAAGACCTCAATCTGAAGAACTTTTATAAGCTTTTCTTGCTTCCATTTCCCCTTCTTTCATCTTCTTTGCTAGTCTGTGTAAACCAGATTCAAGTTGATCTTGAAGTCACTGGACTTTGTTGGTGTTGATTTTGCTTTGATTTGTAGCATCTACACATCTTCATACCAAATCTCACCACTTTTAAATGGGTTTCTTGTTTCATTTTGGTTGAGAAAACCCTTTCTTGTTCCTGTTCTTTTCATCTTTTGGATTTACAAACTTTTTCTTCTGGTTTGGGGTTTTATCACTTTCAGTTCCTTTTTCAAGAAAAAGGGCACCTTTTTCTTGAAACCTTATCTACTTCTATCAATGAAGAATCCTTACACAACAGGGGTATGCCGAATTTTTGTGTTGATTCCATTCCTGTATTGGGTTGAATCCGTGAATGGAATAGGGGCTAATTGGGGAACACAGTCATCTCACCCACTGCCTCCAGAAACAGTGGTGAAGATGCTGGTGGATAATGGGATCCAAAAGGTGAAGCTTTTTGATGCTGATTATGGTGCATTAAGAGCTCTGAGTAAGTCTAGAATTGAAGTCATGGTTGGAATCCCTAATGACTTGCTTGCCACCATGGCTACTAGCACCAAAGCTGCTGAGAAATGGGTCTCAAAAAACGTTTCAACCCATCTGTCAAATAGTGTCAACATCAGGTCTCTTTCTATATATATACATATACATATCTGTTCAATCTTTGAGTTAATCCTACATCTATATTACTGATAGTTTTGATTCTGTTAACTATAATTGTTGTTTGGGTCATTCTTTGAATGGAAAATTGATCAATTTAGTGTTGGAAGCTAAAGTTTGGATTGAAAGGCTTGATTTTGGAGCCAGTTTTTAGGGTTTTGAAAGAAGAAAAGGAGACTTTAATGTCATTATCTTCCATATTCTATGTAGATCATGAGTTTGGTGACCTTTATAGATGGAAAAAGGTTGTAACTTTTTAGCTATGGTTGAGGTTCATATGTACTTCATCGGTCCGAAAGATAGCACTTTGAAACCCATTAAACCGTAGCTGCAATTATGTTTAATCCATGGTGTGTATCGATAAGCCATTAGGTTGGTTCATATAAGGTATTCGGTAGAGTGTTTTCGGGTTGTCAGGCAAAAAGTAGATAGTTTTTTAATAATGTTTTGGCTGATAAACTAGCTGTTAGCTGATAAACTAGCTGTTGGCTGAAGTGAGCTAGCGTATAAACTAGTCATGTTTATAGAAGTTTGAAATTCTTTGGGATTTGTTGCTATCGATGTTTAATACGTTCGATAATGATTCCATATAACGATCTTATGCTTGAAAGTTGTTCTTGACTCGGGTTTTATCGCCCTTTCTCAGATTTAGAATTTGGTTTTTGTCGTTACAGATATGTGGCTGTGGGGAATGAACCGTTCTTGGCAACGTATAATGGTTCCTTTTTAAGAACCACTTTTCCGGCTCTTCAAAACATCCAAACCGCTCTCGTAAAAGCCGGACTTGCGAACAGAGTTAAAGTCACCGTCCCACAGAATGCAGACGTCTACGAGAGCTCGACTGGGGTCCCGTCGGGCGGCGATTTCCGAGCCGACATCCATGACTATATCTTCCAAATCACCAAGTTCTTGAATGACAATGGGTCGCCCTTCACAGTCAACATCTACCCATTCATAAGTCTTTATATCGACTCGAACTTCCCCGTGGAGTATGCTTTCTTCGATGGTCAGGCAACCCCGGTAAACGATGGTGGGACAACCTACACCAACATGTTTGATGCCAATTACGATACCCTCGTGTGGGCCCTCCAGAAAAACGGGTTGCCAAATATGGGAATCATAGTGGGAGAAATCGGGTGGCCAAGTGATGGCGATCGAAATGGTAATAACGAGTATGCTCAACGGTTCATGCAAGGGTTCATGACTCGAACGGCTGGCGGGAAAGGGACGCCGATGAGACAGGGACCGATTGAAGCATATCTATTCAGTTTAATCGATGAAGACGAAAAGAGCATTCAGCCCGGGAACTTCGAACGACATTGGGGAGTGTTTTACTACGACGGGCAACCGAAATACTCATTGAACCTCGGAACAACCACCACCGGAGCTCTTGTTCCGGCCCGGGACTTAAAGTATTTACAGAGAAAGTGGTGTGTGTTGAAGGATTCAGCTAAGATGGACGACCCCTCTATATCTCAGTCAGTGAGTTACGCATGTGCACTCGGCGATTGCACGAGTCTTGGGTACGGAACTTCTTGTGGCGGTTTAGATGCCCAACAGAACATTTCGTATGCTTTCAACAGTTATTACCAGAAAAACAATCAGCTCGATGAGGCTTGTAAGTTCCCTAATGTTTCAACCGTCACGAAAGATGACCCTTCGACTGGGACCTGCAGGTTTGGGATCATGATCGAGCCATATTACAGTGGCGCTCATAAACTGCTCGGTTCAGGTGGGTACGTTGCAGGACTGGCTTTGTTGTTACTTACGGTCCTGTAAATGACTGCCGTTGTTGTATGCCTCAAAAACGTGTGATCTTGTTATGGTGAAGAGCATCATTCCAATGGAAATTTTGAGCTCTTCCCTTTTGTATGCAACTTTTGGGTTTCATTTTGCTTTCAAACTATTTCCATGGCCATCTTCTGAAACGAAAGTTGCATTATCCAACTTAAAAAAGGTAATCTTTTGTAGCATTTGCCGGTGGTTTTAGCCTTCTAGAATTCATGATTATTCATTATGAATAGTAAATGACATACTTGATTATTCATCATAAATAATACATGAAATAACTGGTTTCGACTCAGTCCATTACAGTCCAATGAACGATGGGGAAAAGTTTCCTCCAGTATGATCTTATTTACTACTACAATGATGTACATTTACAAAGCTATAAATATGGGAATGGGCTCTCTACAAAACTCCTGTTTTTCTTTTGGTGCATCATCACTAAATTCTTAAGGCGAATTAGGCACAGAAAGAGTATCAGCCAGTCCCCGGGCCATGGTTTCGTGCGGGAAGAATGTTACACACAAACCTGAAAGGATTATCACAATCTCGAACAGAATGATAGCAGTAGTTTGATGACAACCAGACACCAGATAAACGGCCACGAGAGGGCAAACAATTCCGCCTACTCTACCCACGGAACTCGCAACTCCAACACCAGTAGCCCTCATGGAGGTTGGATATATCTACAGAAAGAAGCGTGTAAACAAACATAGGATGGACCAAAGTCAAGATTGTTAGATTCAAGAGTATGTATGTATGTATGTATGTATATGTACCTCTGGAGCATATATATTGGCAACGGTGAAAGTTCCGACGATGAACATACGGGATCCAAATAACGAAATCGTTGTGAGAACCTCGAATTGATATGAAAGCAGTGGTAGAAGGAATATGAAGCCTATGAAGAACATGAGTTCCATGGAATGCTTGCGGCCAATCCTGTCCACTACAAATGCTGAAAAAACAAGACCAGGAACCTCTGGAAAGAGACAACAACAGACATCATGTTATATTAGTGCACCAAACCAAACCAAACCAAACCAAACCAAAAAGCGGCCTTATCCCACTTGAAGGTGAGATCACATGCCGGGAGGGAGATGTAGCAGACCAGACCTCTATCCCGGCGGGTAAAGTGGTTGTTTCTGTCTGAAAATAATTATATAGCATTCATATTATATATAAAGAGAAGATGTGCTACATACCTGCCAAACTGGTGATGAAAACATCTCTATAGGTAGAATCTTGAGAATCGGTGACTGAAAATGAAGTCAGTGAGCTACATTGGGTTTGCCCATTGCTCAGTTGTGAGGTCAGCAGTATGATCCCGTAGTATGAAAATGCATTTCCAAAAAATACCCCCCATAATAAGAAGGTGGTTTTAATCAAATTTGGCGAGAATAGCATCCATAGGGTTGAGAAGCCTGTTTTAGAAGAAATCGTTTTGCTTGTTTTCGGAGAGAGCAAATAGGTATCTTCCAGTGTATCAAGTTCATCGTCCGAACTGGCAATTTGATCAGAAAGAAGGAACCCAGGAGGAAGTTGTGTTTGGTTCATCGCTGCTGCTCTTTTCAGGATATCATGAGCTTCAGTTGTTTGACCTTTCAAACATAAATATCTTGGGGATTCCGGTACAAGACCATAAAAGATGAGAGCTGCCAAAGTAGGAAGCGAAGATATTGCAAGCAACCACCTCCATCCTAGACGGGGCATGATGATCTAAACAAGAAATAAGTATATAAACTTATATTAATTATTATTCAGTATTCGCACAAAAGGTTTGTATTGCCTGGTTTGAAGAGCTCTTGCCAAATGGAGAAATGTTAATACTTCCTCCGTCCCAAAATAAGGGTCCACATTTCTATTTTAATTGGTTTTAAAATAAGTGCCAACATTAAAAAGTTAATGCCTATTTGTTAATTCTACCTTCAGATGTAGAAATTCATTACACCCTCTATTATTTAGGGTAAAATTGTCATTTTATATATTTCAAACTTTTTTTGCCTTTTCAATTGTGGACACTTATTTTGGGGACGGATAAAGTCTTCCAAAATTCCAAGCAAAAATGTAACTGAAGATCAGCAAGTGATATACCCAAGCAAGAGAAGCCTCAACTATCGTTCCTATCGTCCAGAAAGTTGCAAAGATAACCATCCAGGTGCCTCTGCTTGGAGCAGGAACAAACTCCAGAAACCAAGAATTATAGGTGGGCCCGCCACCCAAACCGATGCCTCCTATGCAACGAAGAATGACCAATGAAATATAGTTTGGAGAGAAAGCACTTAAAAGTGACGCTCCACTAGTCACAATAGCGATACTCAGAAGACCCTTTCTATCGAAGGAAAATGCAGGCAACCAGTTGTTATTAACACCAATATAAATGGAACTCTTACAAAACACAGACAGAATCAAGTTCATGTATAAAAAGAGAAGCAACTAGCAACAACTATCATATTCTAGCCAGCCAAAAAAAGTTAAACAGCAATGCAAGAAAAAAAAAATAAGGGGAAAGAGTATGCAGGTCGTAGAATCAACTCCAGTGTATGGTCCATATGGTCATCTTGGCTTCAGGCCAACTGGGGAAACCCAAATTAGAACTTCTCCCTGAAGGACTTCAATGCAACAAATAATAAGAAACACAAGGACCGAGGGACAGATGGACAAAATACATGGCTTGATATGGCCATTTGCAGGTTTGTTTGACCACAGGGAAATAACTCATGTTTTCTCAGAAGCCTACTCAAATATTCTACAACACAACAGATCACTACATTGTTCAACCAAAATTGCCTTGTAGTAATTATATATTTTACATAATTCAGCAGCAGGCTTTGCCCCATTGGCATCAGATGGCCTTAAGATTTGGACTTCAAGCCTCATAAGAGGTGGTTGTGGTGGAACCTTTTTTTTCCGTTGACGCGGCATTGGGGGGGGGGGGGGTTTGATTGATAAGCCATTCTAATACAGGATACTGGCCATCAAATAGTTCTGTCAAGGACTCTATCATGCTACATAAAATTTAGTTGGATGACTAGTGTCTTGAGAGATTTCCATGCCCCATTTTTATCCTATTCTTTAACATCTTTATGTAGTTTTTATAATTGTTTCAGCACAGTTAAGACTACAACATAATGGAAGACAGAAATACAATGAAGAAATATGAGTAGGTGGAGAAGAATTTCACCTCCTTCCATAGTTATCCGAGATGACACCCCATGAATATGCTCCAATAAGCATACCAACAAAAACCACAGTTGTTATTAGGCTCTCTTCAGTAGATGAAAGGTTCCACTCAGACCTAACTGACGGTCCAATGAAAGACAGAATCATGACCTCCATTGCCTCAGCGATCGAACCAAGACCTGCATAAGCAATTATCCACCCTTGAAACTTCCCAAACCCAATGGCTAGAAGTGCTTCATCTAATGTATATGCAGATCCCTGGTCTGTCATCTACACAGTTTAATCTCGTATCAGAACAGAGATAAATTGTAGCTAGAAAAGCCACCAATGATGGTATATTCATTCATACATGGTGGAGTGAAAAAGATCTAATTAGAACCTGTGTCATCAATGTGTTACTAACAGAATATATCAATTCAAAACTTTGTACTGTTTGTCAACAGAGGTAACTGTCTCAAACTAGCTCATTACAAAGAGATGTCAATGATAAAAAATTGTTTCAATGAGTTCTTCCTCTTGGTGCAGGCTAAGCCAAGATAAATAAAATGTAGTTGAAAAAATATTATCGTAAATTACTAGTAGCAGCAGAATGCTCTCCAGTTCATCCAATACAAGTACCATGGTCATCAATCATCATTGGAGCACTGGTAAACACTACTAATAATTGAAATCTTTAGGTCCCTCTTGCACACAGGGTTGTAGCAGTGAACCTATTAGCATTACTTGTGGATGTTGGCTTAACCATCATAGATGAAGAGCTGAAGAGACAGCAATTTAGAACAACTGAAGTTCCATTGTGGTCAGACTCAATGCTTTCTATATACTTATATTCCTAGTTTGCTTTAGGAGTGCTTTTCCTGGTTGTTTATCCCTTTAAAAGCCCTTTATTAGCTACTTTTTGCTCCTGTATCCTGTTTATTCACTTTTCTGTGGTCTATTAAAACAACTTTACAGCCTTTGCACATCAAGTTATTCATCAGACACAGTTACTTAACTCCTGTTCACATTCTGTAGTCAGAACTAACCTTGCTTTGAAATTTTAGTAGTTTATGTCCCATTAATATTAAAAACTAACACATGTATCTTGGCTTGCATTAATGATTGATTTCTATGCAAAAACTTGAGAAAAAAAAAGTCAAAGTAGCGACATCCCATGCTTGCAAAGCATAGGATATTCAGCAGCATATCAATCCATGAATATAAAGCTCATTCAAGGATCTAAAACTCTTATCAGCTGTAAGGACTAAGGACCATGATAGCTAAGTGTCAGTTTAGTGTTTAACTCGTGCAAGATCCAAATTTCTGATCCTTAGAAACTTATAGGTATGCTTTATAATGAAATAACAAAATTTCAGAACTTGGCTCCCTGTGGGAGTGGCCCAAAGTATATGTTTCAACAAAGACTGCATATCAGAAATTTCATCATGAAATTCAAATAACCATGATTGAGTAGCCACTATAACCAATTGTTGGACAACAATAAAACAAATTAGGCTTTAATCTCAAAATTTCTTTGAACACAGATATGTGTGGCTCTCCAGAAATGTAGCACTGCTTGGCATAACCAAGCTACAACATCAACGGTATATAATGAAAAATCTTATTCCACACTAAGCTATATATGGCAAACTAGCTGATAAGCTAGCTGCTAAACTGGTCGTGTTTCGTAAAACCTTATGATAAGCTAGATGACATGTAAAATTACCTAATAGGATAGGGTTCTTGGTCACTTATGCAAAACATAAGGGGCATACCAATCAAGAATGCCCAAGGAATTCCAAGAATTCCAATTTTTTTGGTTAACAAAAAGAAGTTAACACATTGAGTTTCAAATGTAGTTGAAATAACTGAATTTTGGGTTGTTCGATCAAATAAGGGAAACTCATTGAGACATAATTCTATCTGGATAGATTTCTCGAGATATTTTCTTACGAAGTTTTGAGGCCCTTCAAACTTATTGAAATGTTACCTAAAGTAGCTTTCAAAATGCTAGTTTATAGCGTACCGAACGGGCTTTTCTATAAGCTCAAAAAAATAAGCTAGCTTATTGTTGAAATTATAACATTCTAACACAGGCAAGAGGCTACATGATTTGGGCAGCGACCTAGGGTCGTGGTTTGCAGATCACATAAGGGATTGGAGCTCTCGGTACACAATCAGCAAGGGAGCAACATGAAGTGATCACCTCGCATCTGGTCATTGCATATGTGCAAATTGGTGTCTGAGCAGTTAACGTGACCTTTAGGTCGCTTAGGAAGTCGCATAGGCCTTCAGATGGGATAAATTAAGGGTTAGGGTTCATTTTGTTTAATAAGAGCATTTAAAACGTCAAGGTGATCTCTCCCTCTCCATATTCGAAATAGATAGGTGTTTAGCTTATGTTTGTTGGTTGTTATCCTTCAGCTTACAGGCAAGCTTTTGTTTGTAACCTATCTACTTATTTGAATAAATACATCATCCAGGGTTCATTGGGAGGACATACACAGTTGTAAGGCCGTGCAACCTCGTTATATGCTTGTGCCTTAACATTATTGTTTTGTATGTTTGTTATTATTGTCGTGGCACACCAAATTCATTCGTTTAATCCGTCTTGTTTCGAATTCAGTTTGCACACATCTGACCTAGATTTAAGACCTTAAGTGCCGGCTTTCAGTTAAAATTCCCTAAACTTATGGCTGCCCAACATGACCCGCTCCAATTGGGGACGGTTTCAAGTTATCGAACATCTTTTCATATCAACTTAAAAAGAAAAGAAGTGTTAGAATCCAATCAATACACAGCATTTAGTGTTGAAAACACAATCACTCCAAAAGTCATGCCTCCACCACATCTTGATAACTTGATTATCATCATAATCACATACCGAGAAGATCGCCAATAAAAAATTAACTCCTCAGAGTATTCATCTTACGCTCGTAAATTGAAATACTAAACTAAAAACTTGGCTTAATTGAGTCAAAACTTGAAATACTTCCCGAACGCAAAATCGAAAACCGATTTTGTTGCAAATGTAACACCAACATTATTCTATGAATAAAACATGCTCAAGCGTAAATCAGTCTTTCGTGGGTAATTCGTTGAGGGAAACAAAACATTACAAGATTTAAGATCAAAATTCTTGTGAAAAATAGAAATCCTACTAGTACAGCATACCTTGAAGGAGCAGGAACTGAAAACCAGTCAGAGCAGAGGCGGAGTCCACTCACCTCACTCCTCCAAGACGCACGCAGCTGAGGTTGAAGAAGAACGATATGGTTGCTGGTTGCGTATGTGTGTGGAATGAAAAACAGACGCGTAGCCAATATGGTTAAGGTGCACATGTGCGTCATTATTCCCAAATTTGCAATAGCAGGCAATAAGATCGTCGGGTCAACGTGTACGCCTATTTCAGTGAATTACGGTTTAGTCCCAACGGTTTGGTCCCAATTGCAAAGTGGGTCCTTAAAACTTTATTTATTACGGATAAACCCATAAGGTTTGCATTTTGTTTTGAAATTAGTGTCGGGACCAAACAACCATCCACCTCTCGGTTAAACGTGAGGGCATTTCAGTCCCTTTTCCATTTCCCTTCATTTTTTCTCCGCCATTAACTCTTTGCTTCGCAAGAGGTTGAATTTAGGTAAAAGGCCCTTGTCGGCCACCACTTGATGACGACGGAACGCATCGTCAATAAAAGAAAAGGGTCCTCGAGTTGGACTTAGTGGGAATGGTAGGGGTTCGGCATGTCCCTTGCTTGAGAACTTTTTGAGTAGGGCGCTGGAGGTCCCTCAATTGCTCAAGGAACAAGATGAAATAATGCTTTTGTGGAACGYCTTCTGGCGAGGCTTTGAGATTAAACCAATATCTTTCTATTCAAACAAAATAGAATAGATTGGATTAGCGAGATCCGTTTTCATCTGAACCCCATGCCCTACCTTACTACAACACAAGGACAAAAGGGTGAAGGTTGTGAAGGTAGCCTTGTTATCCAGCTAGATGAAGGATCAAGGAAATCGAGAGCAGTCAAGTACTTAGCCAGAAAGGCAAGTACATCGTAGGCACTACCCGACTTGTTTCGGTATTGCATATAAGTACAAGTTCACCCAATAGAAAAATATGAAAAAAGAATGGGATTTCCTCTCACGCGAGATATAGGACGGCCCCTTATTCCCTAGTCAGCTTTCTTCTTGCCAAATAACACGAGTTGTTGGACCTCGGTGTTCAAAAATAACCAATGAAGTCTTTATCTCTCAAATTGGCATGCTTATTTAAACCATACTTGTGAGAGTGACTGTCTTACGCTACAATAGCTACTGTCTTATTGTGTACACGAACTGTGTGAGACTGTAGCTACCCGACCCCAAGGGAGGTACTTGTTACTACTAGAAATTAGCGAACTAGCCTAGTTGACAAGGCATGGCATGAATGGCAGGATGCTAAATCGATTCGCCCTTGCCTCTACTCAGTGACCCCGCGATCGCCCTCTGAATGATAAGAATAAGGTAAGGCTTGAAGATAAGTTTTGTACTCTATTAATTTCTCAGTCACTCTAGTCGGGTGAAGAACATCATATCAAAAACAATTAGCAACAAATTTATGAAACAAAACCTAAAACCAAACTCTAAATCAAACCTAGAGACAATTTATGACCAAGTCCACCTTCATCATCCAACAACAAAGATGAGATCCAAATAGAAACCTTAAGTAAACCATGTTTTCAATGCTTTGGATGATAAACTTCGTTTCTGTCGATGATGGCTAACACTAAGTAAACCATGTTTTCAACGTTTTCGAGTAGCGCCCTAAGATCACGGTTCCGATGTCTAACTCTCTTCAAGTTTCCACCACAATACCTAAGGTCCCGGAGCCTGAACCATACAGATTCATCTCCGCAACACCCTGACCTTAATGACTACTTACACACCATAGAGATACACTTACAAGCCAATGGTCCTGAGGTCCGACTCCACACGAGTGCATCCCCAAAATACCCTTGACGACTTAGTGTCAACTCTACTTGGCCAAAGCCTCAAAATAATGGTCTTAGAGTCTGAATCAACATGAGATCACCTCTGCAATACCCACGGTGCTCCAACCCACACGGGCTCCTCTCTACAATACCGGCTACAATCCTGGAGTCCAACCCATATTTGTTCCTCTTCGCAATACCAACACAACTAAGCTCAACCACTCTAGGTCTATCGCTCGTATGGGCGCCAAACTTAATCACTTCAAGTCTATTGCTCATATCGACGCCAAGCTATAAAACAGGGATAATGAATGCATTTTCAAACCAACAAACTGATTTCAATATCTATGGATCCATTATATTACAGTCAAAATTACACGACACTAAATGAATGATTAACGCACCCAAAATTTGTAATATATCAAGTAAATATGTCATAATTGCATATAATTAATTCCAAAGACTCAACATAGAACAAAATATACTGGACAATTGTCCTCCAAGACTCATTTGAGTCAAAACTGAGCCAAAATCTCAACAATAAAATTGACTATTCAACAAAGTCATCATAAACATAAAACACATTTAACCAAGTGAAAACATACCATTTATCTCTAAAATACTTTAAAACACAATAATGTGTATTTTTCAAATGGTTTACAAAACTGAATATACTAAAAATGTGTTAATCATCAAATAGATTCCAAAAAGGGCAATAAATCATCAAATCTCCATACATTTTGGTTTATTTATCAAAATGTCTAGAAGTCCCAAATATTGGCATTTAATAAGATTTATATACCAAGAGTACCAAAGATGCAAATTTTATCAAACAACCAACACATTTTATGAATATCAAGTAAACATCTTTAAGACACCGAAATACAGTTTTTTGGCATGTATAAGTTTTTCACAAAGCAACTTGAACTCACCTTGCTAGATTTAGGCTAAATCTGAGTTTTATTGCAACCTTCAGCTTCCTTTGGTAAAGGCTTTAGATCCACAATCATCTATTACTAGAACCTTTATCCAGGTCACAAACAAACCTAAAATACACCAAGCGTACCCCAAAATCAGATCCATTATCAAAACTCTAATTATTGTAAAACTCCCAAAAATCATACCTCTTTAAGGATGGGGAGATCCCAACAACAAGATCTTGAAACTTTTTAGGCTAGACCTTCCAAAAGCTCTCTGAGACTTCCAAATTTTGGCCTTAAAGCTACCAAGGTTGACCGTGATAATGAGGAGAGGAGAAAGGGGGAGAAAATCAGAAAAATAATGCAAATGAGGGTTGGAACTCGGTTCAAGAGAGGTTGAATATCGGGCGGGTTATGGCGCGTCTTAGGCTGCCTGCCCAAGCAGCCCAACCTTCCCATGCCCCACACACATACACCCGGGCGGGTCTCATGCAGCTAAGGCCGCATCACGGCCGCGTTCTACATTGTTTCTCCCACATGAGCGTAGACCAAACAGAGGTTAACGTGCCTTTGGAGTGAGTTTATTTGCCGGTAAGGCACCTGGCTACTCCAAACGACCTCTAGTCCCACCGTTAACTCCACGAACTCTCCTAAACAAACCGGGGTTGTCCCAAACACTAACTAGGCGCTAAAAACAACCTTAGGGGCGGAATTTATGAGGTTCCCGAATATTTATAAAATATAAGATTTATAAAATTTTACAGGTGTTACATAAAAAACCTAGTTCACTCTAAACATAACAAAAACACTACCTATTCTTACATCAACAAAAAATTTGAGGTGTTTTTCCAGTGATTTTCTATGACTAGGGATTTCTTCATCACCTTAAATCATTTTGGTGTCGATTTTACATTTATTTCATCATGAAATAGCTAAAATAATTTTTTTATAAAGTCTTATGAGCATCAAATAACCATTGTTAACATCTTCGGTTCTGATAAAAATACATCTCGATTAAAATATATCAGATGAAAGCAATTACAAGTTAAGAAGGTGAATTTTATTCATACCCTTTATATAGGTGGGATAAAAATAAGGTGTATGTGAGTGAGGTGTGTATGAATAGTAACCCCCATTAAAAATAGTCGCATATTCAGTATATCACTACCAAAAAACCCACTTTTTCCGGTGGCCAAATCCGCCGGAAATCCGCCGGAAAAAGGTATTTCCGGCGGATTTCCGGCGGATTTGGCCGCCGGAAAAAGGGGCGCCGGTGATTGGTTTTCCGGCGGTATTTCCGGCGGATTTTCCCCGTTTCCGGCGGATTACGGCCGCCGGAAATTATTCGCCCGTTTTAAAAAAAATCTTGATTACCGCCGGATCAATCCGCCGGAAATTGTTGAAAGTCAATAAAATGTTGACTTTTTTAGCGTCCGCCGGAACGCCGCCGGAAATCCGCCGGAAAATTACCGGCGGATCAATCCGCCGGAAATCGGCGCCGGAAATGCTGACTTTTCTAGTAGTGTATATGTATGTAGAGGCACATTCTTTTATTAACCACTATATGGTACAAATCACTAACCGGAGTATTTTTGTCCTTTTCATATATTATAATACATTCCTTAATTATTTCAGTTAATTTAATTATCACAATCCTTAATTATCTTATTCAGATATCATTTTGAAACAAAACCATAATAAATTTTTAAACAAGAATCATTTCTTCATCTATTAATTTTAAACAAAACTCATTATTTTGTTTATGAAACTTTTGGTTTAATATATGGACTTCGGTAAAAAATTTGAAACAACCAAAGTTCATACATCAACCAACATTATGATTTTAAATAAAAATCATTGTAGAATTTTTGAAACAACTGAAGTGCATACACAAACAGAAAAAAATTGAATTCCAAAAATAACCGCATTTAAGAGATAAATGAAATTAAAACCAAATTTAAGAGATAAAAAAAGAAATTTATTTTAAAAATAACTGAATTTATTTTGCAAAAATAAGTCACAATTTTTGTTCCGATAATACCTTTCATTTAATTTAATTTAATTCATTTTTTTTTTCATCAATTTATAACCTTCAATTTAACCATAATCGTCGATAAAAAAATAAAGTTTATAAAGTTAGTACGAATCAATTGGTTAGCAAATGATTAATGCCTAAATGGATTCTATATATATATATATATATGTGTGTGTGTGTAGGGGCTCATTAAAGGGAGAACCGATTAGTTCGTGGTAACCGTAAAATCCAATGTGAACCATTTGTTTGAGATATTTAAGGATATTTCTTAAATAAGCTAAAAATGTAATATAATAATTTTATTTTTGACAACTAATCAAAATATTTAATTAATTTTTTTAGAAGGAAATATGCAATTAAAATTAGTTACC